ACCAACTCTGTCCAGCCCCACTGTTTGGCTGGGCATACCTCCCAACTCCACTATTGTAAGGACAGAGTGGCACACATTACTTCTGTAAAGTGACATGGCCTGGGCAGTTTCACAAGTGTTCTTAAAGTGAACATAAAGATTTGAACCTCTTGATTGCATAATTTTGTGGGATTTTCTGGGTCAAGTGAATAGCAAACCATTTTCAGAAATCACCTCAGGCTGCTGTCGCGAAGAGGAGAGCATAAATTGATGTGCTTATCATTGTGGTAGCTTTGAAATTGAATTTTAAAAATCCACAGGTATGAACAGTGTTGTATTTTAACATCATTAATAGGTTATTTGCTTTCTTAGGTCTTTCTAGGACTGAAGAGTCCAAATCAACTAGCTCTACTCTATTATTTTCTCTTCTCTATACAATTATGTTGGACTCATTTGAAATCATTTTAATTTTTGGTGGAGTTGTTATATCTCGTGTATTTGTTATTTTCACCTATTACATTAAACAACCTCTGTGTTTCCGAGAAGACTGTATCACTTTTCTATTTTCTCAAGTCCTTTCTTGATATTGATTGGTGGTTGATTTATTATTTCACCATTTTTGTTAGAAGTGATGGAACTGAATTTTTCCCCTTCTTGTTGCCTCTTTCAAAATAAATAGGTCATAGTTGCTTCCCTAGGGGATTCTGTCAAGGCAGACGTTTAGGAAGAAGGATGGTGTGTCCTCCACTTGCATTTTGGTCTCTTGGACTAAGGTCACCTGGCTGACAGCCCTGGTCTCCCAGGAAAGCTTTTCCTCTCTCAGTACTTTAAAGTCACAGAAATAGGTTTCAATTGATGTTTAGTTTGTTATTTCTTTTGCAATACTTCTCATATTGATCTTATAGTGGAAGATTACTGATTTAGGTCTAATAGTCTGCGATATCTTTGCAGGAAATATCAGAAATAATCCAAATGCTGGATTATTATAATCCTCTGTTTTTATCATTAATGAAATTTGTACCGATTTGAGACATGGGTGGATGGTCTCAAATATCACCTCTGGCTTAATCAGTACGTGCCCTAAGTTCCACATAATGAGTTTGGTAACTGTTTTAAGATAAACCGACTTTTAAGTACGACAGACCATTTCTCCCTCTTTCCTTTCTGCTCTCTTTTCTTTATTTCTTTCTAACTAAATTTTTTTTTAAATGTGAAAACATTAGCTGAAATTTTGGGAACAGGTTACCCATAGCTCTACCTTTCCAAGGCAGCTGTTTTTATGTTTCATGTCCAAACATATGGATGTGTCATGTGATTAAAATAATATATTATATGATTCAGATTATAAATTTATAAATTTTAACATTAAAAAGTCTTAGGGCTAATGAAAAATATGCTGTGGGGAAAGGATGAATATTGGAAATCTGAGCTATATTGAGTCCACCTGGGTTGTCTAATTTCAAAAATAATAAAGTTGTTCAAATGATTAAAAAAAGGGGTGTTCTAAGATATCTAAAATTTACCCCATTGTTTGCTCTTATTCTTTGAATTTATTGGCTAGAACTAGTTCAAAAATAACTAGTAGACTTTTGCCTTGTGTGTAGTATGGTCAAAACAGAATGAGAATTAGATGGAGATCATGCTTGAGTTTCTTTTCCATCCCTCACCAACTATGTGATCAGGACATTCTTCACCGTTTGGAGCTTCAAAAGGGGTGAACATTATTAAATTGCAGAATACTTTAAGGCTTCAATTTAAAATGCCAATGTTGCATTTACATGCCAGGCTAAAGTTTGTGATTACATAGCAACATGAATAATTAACATGTTTAAGTAATTTGTCTTTTCTTTGTTACTATGGTTCATTAGTAGTGTGATGAATGTCCTTTTGTATAAATTTAGGTGGTTTGATAGATTGGGTGGGTTGTATATGAACTTCAGGATCTTATGAGGCAGGTAGGCCTGTCCAAGAACGCCTGTCAAAGATCACTTGATGGTGAGTGGCAAGGCAGTGCTGATATGTTTTAATTTCTGTTTGAGTGTCCTTTTTGATAGATCACATGGTAGCCATTTAGCAGCCCGTTGACACCTTTAGGCAGCATGTAAACATTCCTCTCTCTGTGCCAAAAATCACATCTACATCATAACGTGAATGTGTTCCTGATTGTAAAAATAATACTTGGAAAATAAGAAAGCATAAGGAAGAAAACGTATAAATCAGGTTATTATCTCCCTCTAACAGAAATAACCATTTATGTTTATTGTATTGCCTTCTAACCTGTTTTTCTCATCATATAACTATTTTGCTTACCATGACAGATGGGTATTTTCCTATGTCCATCTTTACTGCCTTTCTAATTCAAGGTTTAGAATATATACAGTATCATAAAGTAGGTGCTTAAAAAGGATAAAACTACTTCTTACAGAGAAGCGAAAAAACTCCTAAGTTAACTTACAGAGGAAATGGCAGATTCGGTTACCTATGCTTTGCTTGGAGAGGATGAGGATGGGTAGAGAGTCCTCAGCGATCAGTGTGGTACAGTGGACAGAGCACAGCTTTAGACTGGGGCTGAGTTGAGTGAATCCTGGTTCCATCACCTACTAATTGTGTGATTTTGGACAATCTGACCTTTGATTTCCTCATCTTTAAGGTGGGATGAATACTGCCTGCCATTCAGGGCTACTGTGGGGTTAGAGACAATGGCTATAAATAAAGTGCCTGGCCCATTATCTGAACATGTTAGCCGGAGGGTAAACAATAGTCAGAAGAAACCTAAGACTTATAAAATTTAAACATACATTATGGAGAGCATGTTTCAGCCATAAAAATAACTCTGTTATAAAAGTATCTATTTGTATAATTCACTATTTCCCTTTTCTCTTATAAATATAATACTGCCAATGGAGGAGTAAAAATATGATGAAAAAGTGTTGTGTCTCAAAGATGATGTGTGCTCTGGTGGGATCCTTACTTGTGAGCTCCAGCCAGCCCCGTGCAGGCTGCAGTGTTCCCGGGACACCCCTACTGAAGATGCAGCATGACTGGCCCGGGTTAGGTTTTGAGGGTTCACCTGTGAGTTCCCAAGGGACATTCACAATCCAGGGCAGTGTCAGGTGACCTTGGCTGCAGGAGTTCCAATTCAGAAAAAAGCAAAAACCTTTTCAGGGCACTTTTTAGAAAATAAGAATGAAAATAGCTTTAATGAGCCCTGTTGTAGGTGCTGGGGTAAAATGTATGAATTCTGAAAACGTAAATTGCTTATTGAACATACAAGAATAAGTGAAAAATTGGCATTGGCTATTTCTTTTAGCCAGTAACAGGTTAAATCCTGGGTGTGTTTGAGGAAAAACAATACTAATCTAATTTTTATTCCCACATTAGACTGCCAAGTTAGAGTAATCCACAGGTTACAGTTACTCATGTCTGATCTCATGTGAGTCAGAGATGTAGACACAGTCCAAATAGGAACACAAGTAGGGTGGTGGTACGTGTTGTAATGGATACAAGTATGGTGATTAGCAAGTAGTTAATTCTTATAAGGGAAACAGGCCTTCCAGACTCAGAAAACTGTGACCAAACACAGATGTGTAGCCTAGTGCATGCCAGAGAAGGGAAAGTAACTGGTTTGTGGAGGGCATAAGGAAGGTGCCAGGAGAATGAGCTTGGAGCCACTGCACTAGTACTACATATGACTTTTACCAAAGGTGGCAAGATTTTTTATTTCCATTCTGGAAAAAATGTCAAGAATGTTACATAATTAGTAAAAACAGAAAGAATAACAGAGCTAGTCAGTATAAAATAATTTTTAAAAACTGAAAAGACACAAAAAATATACGCTTGCTGAAATAGACCAATTTTTAGGAAAGCAGACAGTGTCCTCTTCCAGTCGCATTAGAAGGCGAATGCTTTAGGAAGGAGTTGACTCCGCACCCCACATCAGAAATGTAGCAGCGTAATGAGTAACCTGATGCACACAGCTAAATGATCTGCTATGACTTGTCATACAAAGTGTTCAACTCTATTATGTTCTCAACCACTGCTGCTCCCTGAAGTTTCGGAATTCACCACTGACTTGATTAAAAATCACCGTTAAGAGAGAAGTTTATATAGAAAGGCAAACATACACACACACACACACACACACACACACACACACACACACACACACACTTCTCTTTAAAATTCAGGACAATGGTAAGAGACACTTTGGTGGGGGCAAAGACAGGAAATCCTCAAGTACTGTAAATAGAAGAGTGATAGCATAAGACTCATGCTACTCTTATTACACTTTCTCATAACGATTTCCTGATTTTCCCCTTTTCTTTAAGCACCAGATGGAAAGTCAGGAAACCAGGATCAGACTCGTATAATTTCCTAAACATCCGCCTCATCTCAGACAAGTCTCTTTGCTTTTCTAGCCCTCAGTTTCCTCATCTCTCAAATGAAAGGATTTTCAAATAGAGCTGCTTCACAGGCCACGCTGGAAGATGAGAGCCTCCTGCCATCCCTACCCTTCTAACACCAGCTTTGCTTTTATTTGTGTTATGAATGAGGGCTGGTCTGAAAATCACTGAACTGGATGTTCCAAAGGGCATATCCAGCTCCGTAACAACTGCCACATGTGTGGAATGGGCATAACAATAGGTCCATTTCACACGTATCTGAGGGTTGACCAAGGTGCACATGCAGCTCAGAGCGTAGAACATAGGAAGCATTCGGTGTGTTCGCTGTTGTTCTCCCCAACCCCAGATTGGTCCCTCACACGTAAGACTGCATTTCTTGGCTCTTTGAGTATAAAATGTTGACCTGAAAAAAAGGCCTAAGCCATCTGTTTTATACCCCAAATCCTGTAAGATGTCTTGGACATTTAATCTGTGAATTTATAGCGTAACTATTTTCTTTCTATTTTTTTGTACATTGTTTTTCCTCCCACAACTGGAAGTTTTCTTCTTCTCCATTAGATTCTTGAAATAATTATGACCAGGTGCAATTATGACCTTGCACACACCAATGTCTTTCAGGCTTGTCAGCTCCTGGGAAAGTGACATCAGCGTCCACTCTCTGACCCTGCCCTCTGCAACCTGCTTGGAGCTGCTGCTGATATTATCAAGGAATAACACCACGCTGCCTCCGTCCCTTCGCTGTATGAATTCCTTTCAGGTAAGGGATTGTTCCTACCAGGGTGTGATTTCTTAGTTTTACTTGTAATGGCTTTCTAAGGAGCCTGTCTTTCACAGGAGGTAGTCCACGGAAACCCACATTTTCACATCATACTAATAATAAGCATAATGCATGTACTGCCTTGCCTGTCTCTTTTTAAACAAATGAAAAAATGGAGGCTCAGAATTCTCTACGCAGTTGTTCAGTAGTGATGAAATCCATCTCTCTCTAACTCCAGGGTTTGTTCCCTTAATCTTTCCTGCCTCTGAGAGAAAAGGCAAGAACATTTGACAGAGACACTTGTGAATGCCACTTCCTTTTTCCCAGATTTGCCCTGGAACAAGGATCTTCAGCTTGCAGTCAAATTGCCAAGTGGATGCTTAACAGTGATAGGGTCCTACCCACTCTCAGCACCTGTTCCCTCTCTCCCTGGTCCCACCATCATCACTTTCCCACTCTCCTGGGTATCAATCTATGCTCCAGGTAAAGGACAAGGTCAGAACAGGACAAACAGGACAGCAAATATGGACCAACCAGCTAATTGGTAGGCAGCTAATTGTCACTGAGGTGGCAAATGAGAATGAAGATGTTAATCACTAAAGTTGTGACCCAATAGCTACTGAGTGTAATTGAACATATCAATGAGTCTTGACAATGGAAAAATATTCACAAACCTTCTGAGCTTGGTGAGAAGGCCACATGCCCAGGTGAGAAATGAGTCAATGTAAGTCAATTCTACTTCCGAAGGGTTGCGGGTGTATCTTAAAATAACTTCAGGATCAATGTGTGTTGCTTGGTGCATCTCTGTGTTAAAACAAGACATGAATTCTTCTATGAATTATAGCTCAAAAAATTGATTAAAAAACATAATTACTGCAATCTAATTTGTATCCATATTCTCCTGGTAATTTATTATATTGATTATCTCTGTGATTTTCTTCCTGATACAAATTTCAGACTTTGGCCATGGTGTACCTGTTTGTATTTATCATTCATTACTCGATTATCAGCTTTGATACCGGACTCAAGGGACCTTAGAAAACACCTTATTTTGTAGGAGAGGAAACTGAGACGCAGAGAGATGGAGTGAACTGGCCAGGGACCACGCAGCATGTTAGAGACAGAGCTGGAGTCCCCTGGCAAATGCCCAGGTAACTGCATCTACCACCTGAATGCAGTGCTTGCCCAAGTCTTGGGAGGTAGAGGGTGTGTCAGTGGTAGATGGAGGCCAGTTGTGTCTATCTTGGAATATCCATATCATCCCTTATTCTGTAGTAATTTGTAATTATTTATTTGTATGCTGCCCTGAACCAGAAATGATTTAAAATTCTATCAATCTTTCTTTCTTCTAAGTTTTGCTCTTGAGATTGAACACTGGATAACACAAAAGTTTATATATGCCCACAAACTTTTTTGAAGGGAGGTAAGGAACTTAACAATGGTTACCTTTGGGGAGTGAGGCTGGAAGGCAATTATTTTTTATTTGTTCCTTCGTGTATGGTGTGAAATTTTTATATGATGGGTGAGTGGGGAGCCAGAGAGATGACTCTGACTTGAAGGATTTTACACAGAATATTGGGGAAGATGGAACCATCATCTGTGTGTGATATAAATTGAGAATAATTATATTACAAAGTTGCCTCAACGCAAGTCTTAGAAATGAAAGGTAAAAGAGGAATCTAAACCGGGTGTGGGGGATTTGAGAGGAGGCCCAGTCTGTATTTCTTCTCCATGAGACGAGGCAGGCGGCCTTGCTGCCTTTGAGGATCTCAGCTCGGGCTCATGTAAACACAGGGGCAGGAAAGCCTGCCCTGCTCTTGGTGGCATTAGTGTTCTCTCCTCTCACCTCTAATCACAGGAGCTTTTAGAGCTGTCAGCATGTTAATTGCTAAGTGACCCTCTCTATTAGTGATTGTTCTTCCTCTGGTCTCAGTCCATTTGCTGAATATTATTGTCAGGAGCACAAACACTTGCCCGATTTCAAAGGTACAGAGAAACTTGTCACAGGTTCCTGAACAGTGTCTGCTAAAGAGATTTCCCCCTGCTTCTTGCCCTGGAAAGATGCATTCTTATTATGGCTTTACCAGGAATCGACTTCCCTGTGCGGGCCTTCACTCCAAAATAGAGGATTAGTGAAAAAGGGAGGATGTCTGTCAGGATTAGAAAGAGAGGCCCTGCTTCATCTTTGTAACACCCCCTTAATCATTTACTATAAGAGCAAGGAATGGGGCTGCTAATTCTGCCTGTACTTGGGATTTACTTTTTCAATTGGGAGCTACTTTAATGCAGTTCTTTAAAGTGCTGTACTGGCAAGAGCTGTAGAATAACAGAGTGACATTTGTTAAAGATACCATCTTTACATTTCCAGTTCTCTTGTATTCCAGGCCGAGTCAGTTACTGTGAGCAATGTTGCTTTTTTTTCCCCTTTTTTTGTAAAAATGTGATTTTCCATTTCTGAGGATTCAAGTGGCACTCCCATTTGAGCCTTATCACTGCCAAATCCCAAAAGGAGAGGTTTATCTTATTAACTAGAGGCCCGGTGCATGAAATTCGTGCACGGCAAGGGGGCAGGTGTCCCTCAGCCCAGCCTGCACCCTCTCCAATCTGGGACCCCTTGAGGGCAGTCGGACATTCCTCTCACAATCCAGGACTGCTGGCTCCCAACCGCTCGCCTGCCTGCCTGCCTGATTGCCCCTAACCGTTTCTGCCTGCCAGCCTGATCACCCCCTAACCACTCCCCTGCCAGCCTGATTGACGCCTAACTGCTCCCCTGCCGGCCCGGTTGCCCCCATCTGCCCTACCCTTCAGACCTAGTCCCCCCCAACTGCCCTCCCCTGCTGGCCTGATTGCCCACAACTGCCCTCCCCTGCAGGCCATCTTGTGTGTTGGAGTGGTGGTCAATTTGCATATTACCTCTTTATTAGATAGGATTAGAGCTATTCACATATAAGAAAGTGTAACTTCTTAAATTACAATATAACATTTCTCTCAAGCCAATAGGGATTTCTTTGGGTAGATTTGTTATCATTTTAACTTGCACTGGGTTACATACCTGAACATGCCTGTTGTGATTATGAGCGAAGAGACTGTAGCATTTGGTGGATAATCACTGATGTATTGTTAGGCACGTACTAGAGTTGTTGTTGCAGCCCCAGGAAGAAGGATGGGCTTACCGTGTCACACTCTGTTAAAATTCTTCCATGACTTTTATTGCAATGAGAATAAAATCCAAACATCTGCACCTGGCCAACAAAGCCCGCAACATGTGGCCCTGCCTTGCCCTTTGGCCTCATGTCCTGCTCTCTCCCTCTCACTCTGTTCCAGCCACACTGGCCTTATTTTCTGCTCCCTAGCACAAGCTGGATCTGGCCGTAGAGTCTGTGTATTGGAGGTTTTCTTTGCTACCAGGAGGTGTTCTGGACCAGATTTCAGGTCTGGACCTTCTTTCAGTCTCAGCTCAGGTGCCCCCTTCCCTAAGGGGCCTAGCCTGACACTCCTCATCGATTCCTCTCTCCCTATCAGCATATTCTATAACCTTATCTTGTACATTTATTTGTCCTTTTTCCTCTACTGAAATGTGTGTTAACTGAAAAGAGGGAGAATGTCTGCTTGTGTTCAATATTGTGTCAACAGAACTTAGAACAGTGCTTGGACGGAGAAAGCATATGGGCTGACTGGCTATGGTGGGAGGATACGCAAATAGAGCGCAAATCAGCATGGCCATTTGACATTCTAGAGATCTCCAAAAGACGGAGCTAGTGTGAGCCGTGCACACTCCGGGGCAGACGCAGAGCCCTTTCCTGTTGAGACAGGGTAGACTCCACAGGTCATTCAGATTGGAGAGATGTGGGCAAGGTTGAGCACAGGTGGGTATCTGCACTGTAATTCCAGCCTGGGGCTTTGTGCAGATGAGAAAGACTGGGAGAAGAGTTCAGCCTTTAGAAAGAGCTGGCAGGAATCGAGATAAGCAGAGTGACTAGTACACAGGACTGGGCTCCCTCTAGGCACTGGAGACCACAGTACGGAAATAGGGATGGTGCCCAAGCTTCGATGCCAGAAACCCAGGCGGCAGGATTGAAGGTCCAGGAACGGGGCAGGTAGCAGCCTGTGGCCCTCATGACTGCTGCCAGCTTGCTTCCGCTCCGAGTGCTTCAGAACTCCGGGGCGAGGTGGCAGAAGGCCATTTCCATATCCATTTTGCTAGATGGCAGACCCGCTTCTTAACCGGTAATAGCAACTTTAAATCTGAATGGCGTAGAGCCTTAAGAGCAACCGGGTTGGATCCAGGATTGGGCAGGGCTGTGGGTTTTAATTACTAGGCCTTTTCCTTAGAATCCTAGACTATTACTGTAGCAGGAAAGACCAATTAGTCTAATTACCTTAATTTTATAGATAAGGAAATAGACCCCAGAAGGGTAAGTTGATATTGGAGACTAACTGATTTCTATGCTATGCTTTTTGTGCTACACAAGATGCTGACTTCTCTTCAGGTATGAAGGATATTATTTTTCTTATTAGCATTTCCTTATTCCATGGAACACAGGTTCCTTAGGACAGCGGTCGCCAACCGGTGATCCGATGACCACTGGTGGTCCGTGAGGTCAGAAAGATTGGCGACTGCTGCCTTAGGATAGTTGTTATAGAAAATAGTATTTAATAATTATGTATTAATAATGCAGATTTTAAAGGCTAATGTATATTCAGTGCTTTCTGTTATCGTGGCACTGTTCTCAATGATTAGCTCATTGTCATGAAAAAATACCACAAGGAAGGTATATTATTCCCATTTCACTTGTGCAGAAACTGAGCCAGAGAGATGAACTTGCCCATGCTCTCACAACTAGTAAATGGAGGAGCATAAGGTACAAAGCCTGGCCCTAGAATCCCCTGTACTTAATCACCAGGTACTGTTGCCATTTAAAATAACTTTAGTTAAACTAAGATTTTTTTTTTATTTTTACTTGCAGGACTTTTCAGTGCCTTTCATATGTGTGTAAGGA